CCCTTTCGCCACCCCCCCCCCCCCCCCCCCCTTTTCGGACATATCTGATCTGCCCCTGTATTAGATATGGAGCTTATTGTCACTGGGAATTCTTCACATGGACATCACTTTATCTCACCTGACTTTTTATGAGGACTTGGAAAGTTGTAATTCCTTGGAGGCGGATGGGCCTTCGCTATGTTAATGAGTAAGGAGCTAATTCACAGAAGGAGCAATGATTATGTGTTGAAATAAAAAATCCTCATGGTGACGGCATCTTCTGAAATTAGTGAACAAATATTAGACTCCTACCTTCCAAGAAGCAATGCCTTATCTTGAAACAAAATATTCTGATTTTTCTGTGCAATGATCATAAATTGCATTAAAGTCCTATGAATGAAACATGACTATAATTGCCTGGGGAAAATAAACATGTGCGTGTTATAACACCACATAATGATTGCTAATTTACATATTCATACATGCGTAGGATTCTTTCAGCAAATAAATAAGAACAAAATTACAAAAAATAACCATTTATTACATGATACTCAATACCATTGTTAATGTAATGACAAATAAAAATGTGCTAATGAGATAGGAAATTACAAGGATATCAGAAACTCTATGGTTAGTTTGTTCATACTACAGAGCTGTAAAAAGTTAGTTTTTTATGAGGGACCAAGGTCTATTTTTGCCAAGATAATAGCTAGCCCTTATATATCAGCTACTGAATTTTGGTCTAGTTTTAATGTATTTTTTGCTAGCCCAGCCCTAAAGTACTCAAGTCTCTGATCATTTAATAAGAGATTAAAATGGCTAAAACTGAAACTTCCAAGGAGACAGACCCTATCAATAATGTACAGTAGGTAAGAGAACACCCAAACCCTTTTTCCTGACCAAAGCATCCACCACTTTCTGACCTTGAAGTCCAGGATTTCCACTGGTACCAGCCCGGCAAAAATTCTGGATTCCCCACTGATTCGGCTATGTTTCCCATCGTACAGCATTGTGATTTTTCTGTACAGTATTTTGTGCTAATATTATATGGTTTTGGATAAAGTTAGGCCATGTTTCCGCAGCACTCATAATTTCTCCGATAAATTATCTTAAAATTCCCTCCAAATATTTTATTCCATCATGCAAAATTACAACAATGCAGTGTGCGAGATGGATAGCCCTATCACAAGAATGAAATTGTTCAGTACTATTTCACTCTGGGAAAGTCACTATGAGGTACTTCTGTAGGGATTGAGAAGATGAAAAAGAATGTTAGATTTGTTTGGTGTGCTTTACTGTACAATAAACAATAGGTATACAGGGTTTGGGATAGACCTTGGGTCCAGCCAGGCACTATTGACGTTGAGCGCAGCCTTGTCAGGCTTTTATTATATATTTATTAAGCACGAAAAAATTTACTCGCTTTTTATTGATGATAGGCAGGCCTCTAGGCTTACTAACTACTACAATTTGGCTTAAAAACTAAATACCCAAAAGAATTCTTTGCATGACCCTGATTTGACATTGGTCAAAGATTATTTATTTTCGCATTCGGAGCTTTTTCTGATAAATTAATCTGATTCTCAATCAAATTTATCAGAAACTTTGGGTCCCATTTCCGCAGCGAAAAATACTGAATAAAGTGGCTGCTTTCTGATAGTTGATCAGGTAGTAAGTGCTGCAGCAACACAGCCTTAGAAAAGGTATAATACCATTTTTTTATACATGACTAATAGTTTATTTTAGGTTAAATTGCAATTTGCAGTAGAAAAGCTCTTAAAATACTAATTATATAAATAAATTGAGTTGACTCAGATGTGAACAAAAGATAACCTTGAGTGTCCTAGCTTCTACACTTTAGTTGATGAATCTTCCAGAGTTGTACATTACATATCTATTGTACATTGGATGGGAATTGAAAGTTATAGTCTTGGATCAATCACTTAAGACAGAATTATTAGCAGATAAAATAACTCTCAAAATTCAAGCTACTGATGAATCAATCATATACTGACTCATACACAAACAATCATTAAGTATCTTGGAAGACAAAAATTAATTAACTTAGGTTTTTTTTTTAAATAGAACTTATAGCACACATATTCATAAGCAGGTGTTTTTTTCAATGGTAATTGGATACAAAATATAAAAAAAAGATTAATGGCCTGCAGTTGATCTGCTTGAGTTGACTCAGCCTACTAGCATCATAGGCCTCGCATTGCAAGCCCATCAATTGGGCGAGTTTGCATGCCAGCCAGAATTTGACACATCCCCTACTCTGGCCAGTGATCAATCTGCTTGAGTTGCTTCGGTAGAGCCAAACGAGACCAAATGATCCACTTGAGTTGGCTCTGTCTGTTGCAGCCAGTAAATATATAAATAACATTCTAAAATTGGCATCTTCCGATCAGCACCAAATTTAAGGAGGACTGTGATATATGTAACATTGTCAATGTGTAAAAATTTAAAGTAAATCGGTCTAGTAGTCTTTCAGTTATGAGCCTGGAAGTACAGACACACACACACACACACACACATGCACCCTATTGCAATACCCTCCACTTCTCCTTCACAGAGGCAACGGTATTTAATAATTCAAAGATTAAAATAACCTTAGTCACTGCACCACACGGCTTCCACAGCTGTATAATGTTTATTAAATAAATATTCATGTGACTCAATATGTAAGATATAACAAGAGTTTCAACCAATTACTTCTAAAGAAATGATCTGATGCTAATACACTATTGAATCATTATAGTGAAAGTTAAACTGCCAGTAAATCGGACTCTGGTCTTACATAGCTGACGAAAGCATCAAATTCGTCACTTAATTCTATTACTAGTACTCTGTTATTAAAGTATAAGTTTTTCATTGATTTATATGGTACCCCCTGAATTATGAGCTTCCCACCTGAATTTTGAACCCCCAAAATACAAGCTGGCCCCCGGAAAGACATAGTCTTAGGTTTCCTCTAGATTGAGCCAGTATATTTATCAAGTTAATTTCTCAAACAACCTTTGATATATGTATATGTATACTTGTTAGACAGTTCACCAGTTCAGTTTGTGTTATAGTATTCGATTTCCACTGTTTGTTATCAAATCAAAGAAACAAATCTTGTATATATGTACTATGTATGACGAAAATAAATCTTGAATCCTGAATCTTGAATCACCTGGTAGATTCCGTGGAGATAAGTGTGTCATAACCATTCTGGAGATACTTTACTATTTATGATATGAATTATTTATCATGTCATTTGAATTAGGTAACTTCTAAAATGCATCACTGTTGTCATCATAATCAATCACCTTCATTATTTATTATCAAGTTGTTGTTGTCATCATTATCCTCATCATTGCCATTATTATCCTCATCATCATCTTTATCATCGCTGCTGTCATCACCCACATCATCTTGTACCATTGTCATCATCACCCTCATCATAATCATCGCCATCATTATCAAAACCATCATCAGACATCGTCGTCATCGTCACATCATCATCATCAATATTAACACTCATTATACTACATTCCTTATTTTAAAAACCTGTTCAGTAAACGTGATAAATTACATTTATTTGTTTCAGGTACTTGGGTAACCTTCGGAGGTCAGGTCACCGACCAGGTATTTATAATCATTCATTTTCGAAAAAGTATTTTGGCAGCTTGCCAGGATTTAACAATAACAATGCTACTTTTGTTTATGTTTATGAATTTTTAAAAAATAATAATTATTATTATTCTCTATTCTACAACTAGTTTTTTTTTTTTTTTTGCAATTGTCAAATGTTCATGTTTTTATACATTTCTGAATATACTAGCAAAAGTTCCTCCATGAATAAAATAATTTTATGGTAGTCAATGGATCAGAAAATTGCTAAAATTAGACCAGCTCATAAACTACATGTCAAAAGTACACAAATTCCAATCATATTTCGTTCCGGTTTACAAAGTTGTTGAATGGATATGACCATAATATGGTGTAACAGCAATTGATGGAATTGCATCATCTCAGACGATAAGTGGATTTCGTGGTAATTACCTGTGGGCCCAAGGATTACAATTTAAAATTTATGCAACTGAAGGAATTATTCTTTCTCCAGATGATTTGTGATTCTCATATTATTTTTTGCACATGTGCTATACATCCTCAATATTTTCTAACTTTCTGGTCGTATTTTTCTAACATTTTTAAATGAAAATTTCATTTTGGTTTCTGGTTGTGCACACTTTCTCCTTCATACTAAAGATTTTGATTTAATGTTAATACTCCTCGAACAATCCTTTTTCTCCAGCCCATTAATTTCACTCCTCTCTATTTTCTCCCTTCTCTAACAATTTTGAAATTGTCCCATTCATTCTTTTCACACTTCTTCTGTTCCTTTTTGTAAAGTTATTGAGAAGTGACGTAAAACCATTACCTAAGGAATAAGATGATCACCATCCTTGGGTGCTAAGTTCAAACCTTTTTATAATTTTTTCTCGCATCTATAAATAACTCCACTTCTCAAGCCTCAAAGTACAGAAGAGTTTATAGAGCATTAAGGTGAATAAATAAATTGCATAATTATATCTGCAAGTGCCTAGTAGCTTGTCTTCTTCCTGTGTAATCTAGAATTACCTCCATAGAAGAGTAACAGGAAATTAATTAATTGAATTGCTTCTAATTAAAGACTTGTTAGATTACCTCGGTTAGGTCATCATTTTCGGGAGCTGGTAATCAATATGAAGAGCGCCACCGTGCCAGTATTAGTTGACTACAGCAGCATTAATGCCAGCTATGTAGAACATTATGGTCTCCCATTGAATATGTAAATTATGTTCTACTTCCTCTATTCCTCTTTTCCTCTTTAGCCTGTCTACCATCAATTATATTAAATAACAACTATGCACCTTTAATATGCCTTCAGCATTAAACCCATTACAGCATCTTCGTATATATATTAGAATTAACAAGACATTTTTATATGATTCTTTCTTATTCAAATTGTTGATAGATCTCATTAACAGCCTTCAATGTTTAGTTTTTGCCAGAATCCTCAATCCATTCTTCGGCATAATTACATTGGAATTCCATTTCCAAAAGCTATTAGTTCTTTCATTATACAATTCCCTTCCTCCCATAATTATTCCTAATTACCTCAAATTGAAATTCCCAATTTTTTTTTTCACACAAAGCATCTCCATATTCATGTATTTTAAAGAAGTATCCTGCTATAGGAGGTTGGTTTATGTCCTGGTAGTTATATGTTTATCATTTTCTTTTTCATCATATTTTAGTGAAACATATACCGTTGATGAGATACCTCAGATACAGAAGAAAGTCATGTCAGCCAGACTATTACATTATACTTCACAAAGACATGTGACATGCCTAAATATGGTCATAATGACATCACATCATGACCATATATAGGCACAGCATGACCATATATAGGCACAGCATGACCATATATAGGCATATCATGATTATATATGGTATAAGTACAACAGTTTGTCAAAGACAATTTGCTAGTGTCAACAGATCTTGAGCAATGCTATATAATAGGAGTGGTTGGCGCACCGGTTGTGGCTTGGACTCCCAACCTTGAGGTCGGGGGTTCGAAACTCTGGCTGTGCAAATCGCTTGTGTCCTTGGGAAAGGCACTTTATCTACGGGTTGCCTCTCTCCACCCAGGAGTACAAGTGGGTACCTGGTAGGCTCGAACACAACTGCGCTGATTACTAGCTGTAATATTATGGAATTCTCCCCATGGACCTGAGTAAGTAAGTAAGTAACTTTATTGCTTCTCTTTTATAACAGAGGCACAGCCGTAAAGACGTGCAACAATAACAAAATCAGTAAAAACTTAATTACTGTGATTAAATATAGTAAGAAAATACTGCG